CCCCCCCTTCGGGGGGGGGAGCTTGGACGAAAATAGGTCCGCCGGCCGGTTGTAGAGTCGGTTGTAGTAAAACACCACTGGGACAAGTTTGAAAATATATGCAGACCGCCGTTCGCTCCTGCTGCTCCGTACAGCTCGTGCGGCAATCGAGCTTCGCGCAGTGCGAGCTCGGACGAAGCTTCGGGTGCGACACTGAGAGCGGTAGCATGTGGGTCGCAAACTGCCGAGGCACGTTTCGCTGCTCATCGGCGAGCACGGTGCGCTGTGGGTACCCACAAGGTCTTCCGGCATACAACTGCTCGTGCGTCCCTCGGATGCAGAAGAGTCCCGCCGCGGTGACTGCGAAAGCAGCCGTCCCTCGGCACCGCGCGGTGGACCTGTCCAAGTTGCCGCCGTCGGCGGCGGCGGCGGTGCGCGACGCAGGCCTTCCGAAGCGCTGCATCGAGGGCGAGCGCTTCCGCTGCGACGCGGCGGCCGTCGACGCCATCGAAGCGCAGGAGCGCTCGAAGATGCTGTCGCTGCCCGCCAGCCACTTCCAGTCGCTGACGCCCTTTTTGCACACGGCGGACGCGGCGCAGCTGATGGCCGACGAGCGAACGCCGCGCTTCACCAATCGCACCCAGCTCGAGGGCTGGCAGCAAATCATCCGTGAGAGCCTCGCCGGCTGGCCCCGCCGGCGGCGTCCTGCGCTCATGCCTGCGCTGCCAACCGCAGCGGCGGGCCGGCAGAAGCCACACGCGTCATGCGCTGTGGTGGGCTCGAGCGCCCAGCCGCTCCTCACCCGCAATCTCGGCGGCGAGATCGACGCGCACGAGACCGTCATACGGGTCAACATGGCGCCAACGGCCGGGTACGAGAACTTCACCGGCTCCCGGACAGACCTGCGGGTGTGGGGCTTCGTCCCGCTGCCGCGGCAGTCTCCTCGGGCGGCCTGGGCGGCCGAGGACAACTTTCTGATCTACTGCCCGCCGGTAACGTGGGTAAGTGTCTGCTGGAGAAACATCGCCGTCGACCGGGACCCGCGCCTCCACCCGAGCGCTTGGCGTCGCGCGCAGCGGCTGATTCATCTCAACCGGAGTCGCTGCAAGCGTATGGGTTGCTACCCTTCGAGCGGGGCGATGGCGGTGCTCTACGCCATCGACCACTGCGAGCGGACGACCATCTACGGCTTTGGGGTCGCCGAGCCGACGGCGCCGGAGCCGCGGTGCCTGGACCCAGCTCTCGCCTGTGCGCCTGCAGGAGGGCCCACGGGGTACCCCACGGCACGGTGCACCGAGGCGCAGCTCTGTGCAGTCGGCTTGGCTTGCGACAAGTACTACAGCGCGGCAACCCGGCTGGAGTGGCGAGCGAGGCGCTGCGAAAAGGCCAGGGCGGGCCATGTCAAGCGTTCGGGGCGATTTCACGTGGACTACTTTAAGGAGGCGGCCGTGTATCACGACGTGGTGCAGGAGTGGCTGTGGCTAGCGAGGCTCCACCGTGAGGGCGCGGTTGTGTGGCGGGGCCAGCCGGGGTGCCGGGGCCCGACAGGGTTGGGGAGAGCGGGGCGGAGAGGAGAATGGAGCCGTGACGCCCGCCTTGTGACGGCGAGGGGAGAGATAGAACGCTGCCTCCTTGTTTCCACTGTTTTCACTCTTGAGCGAACCCACCTACAACGCTGTTTTCACTGAGTTTACAACAAAACTCTCAAAACAACTTTTGCGCTGGGCGGGGTCTCTGAGAGAAAGTCTGTTGTGTCGTCACAGAGTTGTTCAGTCTGTGTGACACAACTGTGCTCTGTGGACTGTGTTCACTCCGGAGAGTACTCTCTGCTGAGCGTACATTACGGAGAGATATACCTCACGGAGATCCAACACGACAACCCCAATCTCAATAATGTGTTCGACAACATAATAGCATATCTCGGATTACATTGTGGTCTGCTCGCCCCCCCGCAAAACCGAGCCGCGAGCGACCCGCCCGGTCGATCGCGATCTCCCCGCCCCCTCTCCCCACATCCTGCGTGGAGGCGCATCGCTGCGTGCACGGCGCAACTCCGACACACTCGCCCGGGGCCACATGGGTCTATGCAGTTCGGCGGTCTCATCTGCCGGCTCCATGAACCCCTCCCCTCGCTTCCCCTCTCCCTCGCTTCCTCTCTACGGCATGCCCGCCTCATGGCACCGCAACGCGCGCGACGGTGCAGCGACCTGCCGCGTGCGCCGTTGCTTCGGAACGGGCGCGGACGCTGGCGCCGGCGCCTTGCGGCGCGGCTTTGGGGTCAGCGCACGCGCGCGCAACCGCCGGGTATGCGGTGCGGTCGGCGCCGGCGGCCAATCCATCTGCCGCGTGACGGCGTGCGGCATCACGCCTACCAATGATGACGGCGTGGTGGTTCTCATCCCGCTCGCATCTCCTGCGCCGCAAGCGGCGAGGTCTCGAGGCTGCACTGCTCTGCCATAGCAAGGCCGGTCTGCTAACGGTTGTGCTGCGGGATGCTGCTGCTGCTGCTGCTGCTGCTGCTGCTGCTGCTGCTGCTGCTGCTGCTGCTGCTGCTGCTGCTGCTGCTGCTGCTGCTGCTGCTGCTGCTGCTGCTGCTGCTGCTGCTGCTGCTGCTGCTGCTGCTGCTGCTGCTGCTGCTGCTGCTAGTGCTAATGCTAATGCTAATGCTAATGCTAATGCTAATGCTAATGCTGCTGGCTGCTCTGCTGCCGCTGCTCGCCTCCGCGCCACACGTCCACGATGGCCTGCGCGACGCCGCGGAAGCGAGGCTCGTTGGCGAGCTCGTGGCCTGCGACGCGGGTCAAACGTCGCCGCTCAGTGGCTACGTGCAAACGGCCCCTGGGCGAGCGGAAGGGCAGCGGAGACGGAGGCGGCGGAAGCGGGAGTGGCGGCGGCGAGGAGAGCGAAGAAGGCGGCGAGGGCGGGGGCGGGGGGCGGCATGGGGTGGTGGCGCGCGCCGACGCGCATCAGCGTCGCAGCGGCGAGGCGGGCGGGCGCCGGGAAGAGGCGGTGATTGGAGGGCGACCTGTTCACAGCAGTGGGTGTGAAGAGACGCTGTTCACAGCTTGCAGGTGTGAAGAGAGAGGCCGGTGGTTGGAGGGCGACCTGGGACAGCAAGTGGGTTGGTAGGTCGGTCGGTCGATTGTTAGGTGGGTCAGCAGGGCGCAACCTCCCGGGAAGAGGTGGTGATTGGAGAGAGGTCTCTCGGCGGCATCTCGGCGGCATCTCGGCGGCATCTCGGCTGCATCTCTACCACGGCGCGGCAGCGAGGAGGACGAGCCCGGCGGGCGAGTCGGTCGAGGAGGAGCCGCCGCCTGCCGTTGGGATGAGGCTCAAGCTCTGGAGGGAAGGTGCCCGGACGCGCGGTCTTGGGCGCGGGCGAGCGGGAGTGGGACGAAGGCATACGGCGCGGGCTGACTCGTCTTGTGCCCGCTGACCGCACCGTTCGTGAGGCGCGCAACGGGAGGGCGACAGCAGGGCGCGCGACGGGGGGATGCGCGGCGGAAGGGCGCGTGGCGGGAGGCGGCGTAGAGCGGGTGGGTTGGCAGGGGAGAGAGGGAGGAGCAACGGGAGGGACCCGCGCCACGGCGCCTCGCGTGCATCTAGGGAGGCAGACCGCCCCTGCTTGCGCTGTCCGAGCCGCCCTCCAGCCCGCGCGCGAGGCTCACCGGCGTGGGGGCGCCAGGCCGCGTGCACGCATGCACGTCTGCTCGGGGGGGGGGGGGGGGGGGCGGGAGAAGGGTGAGCGCCGACAAGGGAAAGCGCGCGCCGCTGATCTCCCTCGCTCTCTCCTCCCCCGCCTCCTCCTCCCTCTCCCACTTCCTCCCTCTCCCCTCGCACGCTCCCCGGCCTCGCCCTCCTCCGCCTCTCCCTCGCAACTGCCTCGCAACTGCCTCCCGACAAGTGCCTCGCGCCTGCGCCGTCGAGCAGCAGCCGGCGCGCGCGGCCGGCGGAGAGGCAGTGCAGGTGGTGGAGGGGCGTGCACCTACGGTAGGCGTGAGTACACCAACCTCGGGGCGGGAGCACGCGAGTGTGCAGAGGACTCAGAGCACCGCGTGAAAACGGGGAGGACGAGAGCTGAACCCGGCGGCATGTCCTCTCGAGCGGTAGTTGGAAGACAAGAGTCGGCGTCCGCTTCTAGGCGCGCGCACCACTCGCGCGTCCGCTGCAGCCAGGCGGTGACCTCATCGTCCATCTCGGAGAGCAGCTCCACAGCCTATGTACCGTGTCCCAGCCACCTCGTTTGCGGCCGGAATCGAACCGGGGCGGCTCGGGCAGCGGTACGCGACGCGCCCTCGGAAGGCTAAAGCAGCGGCGGGAGGCGCCCCACGCGGCGCAGAGCTGCACGCAGTCGAGCCGCCCGTTTCGCGCTGCCACGAAGAGGGGCGGCCACCCGTCGCGGGACGCCGCGTCCACGTCCGCGCCCGCCTCAAGCAGCGCCCGCGCCGACGCCGTGTGGCCGCGTGCGCAGGCGATGTAGAGCGGCTCGTGGAGCGAGGCGGAGGCGGCGGCGGGGTCGGTGGCGGCGGAGGCGGCGGGCCGTGACACGGCGGCGCCGGCGCCGATGAGCATCCTCACCGCGGCGACGTGCCCCTCGTGGCACGCGATTGAGAGAGGGTCGACGCCGGCCTCATTTGGTCTGTCGACCCGCGCACCGGCAGCGATGAGGAGGTTGACGAGCTCGAGGTGGCAGTGCTTGGCGGCGATCCAGAGCGGCGTCACTCCGTGCTGCACCGCGCAGTCGGGCTGCGCGCCGCCCGCCAGGAGCGCCACCGCGACGTCCACATGCCCGTTGGCGCAAGCGGCGTAGAGCGCGGTCGCGCCCGACTGCGTGCGCCGGTCGACGCTGGCGCCGGCAGCGAGGAGCGAAGATACGATTTTAGCGTGGCCAAAGTACGACGCCGCGTAGAGCGGCGTGTGCCCGCGCGAGGTTGCTGGCGAGACCCTGCACGATGCCGCAAGCAGCAGGACCGCGACTTCTTCGTGGCCCGCCTTGCACGCGAGGTAGAGCGGGACGTGGCCCCCGCTGTCGCTCGAGTCGCAGTCGACGCCGATGGAGAGCAGCCGCAGCACCGTGCTCGCGTCGCCGAGCCTCGCTGCTTCCCACAGGCTCTTTGCTCGAGTACGCATTCCGGTCGCGGCCAGCAGCACCTGGGAGCGGAGAGGGCAGGCGGTGAGGGCACTCGAGCGACGCGCCAAGCCGCAGGCGGCGCAGTCTGGGTGGAGGGGAGCAGGCGGTGGCGGCGGCGCAAAGACGGCCGCGCGGCGAGGGTGGGCGCCATTGGATTCCTGGCTGGCACCTGATGGATCCCCACCCACAATCAAGACCGGCATCTCATGACCGTGTCGTCTGCATCGTAGCGAAATTTCTCTTTTCTTTGGTATGAGTTCGCGAACACGAATCCGATTGAGGACGACACGCAGTGGTAATCCCGTCGGCAGCTGTCACGATGTTAGTACCCCCTCCTCTTCTGAGAGCCGGATCGCGGATGCGGCTCAAGCAAGCAAGCAATATCAATCACTCAAGCAAGGCTCTGCCTGCCGGCGGGTCTGTGGCCTGGCGTCTGCCAGGCTGCGGGTCCAAAGTATCCCGGCGCTACCGCCCCCCGGCGCGGGGTGGGATGTCAGTTCGTGAGTTCTGTGGCCCCATCCCTGTGCCCCGCCCACCTTCTTTCCCTGCCTGCGCCAGTCCGCGCGACCCCACTCCTAGCGCCACCTCGTGAGCTGTCCTGTATGTCCTGTATGATTTGATTGTGATTGGAAGGTGAACGTACCGTGATCCCCTGGAACACCCGTACCCCCGCACCATCTCCGTCGCTTGGTTCCATAACCTCTGCCACAACCGGGAGCGGCCAGGAGCCCAGGACTCATAGACTCGGTCGAGAGACCCCAGATTGGCACTCATGCCTCTCTGGACAGGGTGGCCCGCCACAAGGACCCCAGGAATTGCAACTCGCCGCTTTCCTCCCGCTGTGATTCTGTGTGAGCTCTGTCTTGTTTTGCCAACAATACACCTAACCCACAGGCTAAGCAATCAAACGCAAAAGAAGGGTTAACGAAACGGCACGCCGACCGGATTTGCCGCGCGAGAGAGAGGGGCTGGGAGAAGATTTCGTCGACGCGAACTGCCGAGGCGACGAGGGAGCCGTGCGGGCGTGGCTCGACGGCAACGGCCGTGTCAACTCGACGTTGGGCGGTGGAACCGCGCTGATGTTCGCAGCCTCCCACGGCCACGAGCGGCTGGTCAATATCCTGGTGCAAGCTGGCGCAAACATCACCCATCAGGACACCGATGGCGACACCGCGCTGATGTCTGCCGCCGACAACGGCCACGAGAAGGTGGCCGACCTGCTGATTCGGCACGGCGCGGATGCGGACCAGCAGAAACCAGAATTGCTGCGGCGGCACCGCGTTGATGATCGCCGCCCAGCACAGCCATCTCGCCGTGGTGCGCCGCTTGCTGCAGGCGGGGGCAGACACGCAGAAACTCGACTCAGAGGGTAGGTCTGTGATGCAACTGGCCGCGGGGCCAACGCTGACGGCGGTGATGGAGGCAGAGACAGACGCCCGGCTGGCCGAGTTGGAGACGCTAGAAGCCACGTGCTCTAGCAGCGAAGCTTCATGGCTAGCGGAATTGCGGGTCAAGCTCGCGCAATATGAAGCCGCAGCAGGAGGAGCATACAAAGCAGACGGCTCACTTCGCGGGAAGAAAGGCTATCCTTGAGGCTGAAAAGCAGCAGATGGAGAAGAAGATGGCGGACCTCAACGCGCACATTTGAGGTCTAAAGGAGGCGAGCACGCCCCGTCGCAACGGCAGTGGAACTGTCGAGCGGCTCCGGCGGCGGCAGCAGCGCAACTCGCAGGCGGAGGCCCACTTGGAGCACTTGGAGTGCAATCAGTAACCTCACATCCAGGGCCGAGGAGCTCAGAAGCGCACCCAGCGGGCCGGATGATCGGTGTCGGGTTGCGGGCAAGAGAGCCCTACCGCCCCGGGGGTGCGCGTTCGCAGGGCAAGGGCTGTAAAGTAAACACGGGTCTCCGAGAGGGCTCCGTGTACCGGGTTTCCCCTTAACTGCAGAACGCCCCCTCTACTCGGAGCTAGTGGACACGGACACTACGACACCACACGTCACGTACATACCCGACTGTCTAACGTGTACACTGCACGTCCTCGTCCCCCACCCTTCAGGGTGAATCTTCAGTCTGGTTCGGTCTCTTGCTCGCTTTTCGGGCGTCGCCCCACTGCCTCTGCAGACGTTTTTGATGTCTCTTCTTTGGAGGCGGCCCCTCCGCCCCACCTCCGTCGGCTAGCCCCATTGGCCCCGAGGGAGCCGACAGCCCGGGTGGGGCCTCCCCTGATCCCGCTGACTCCGCCTCCGACGACCCCGTTCCCGACCCCCTGGGCGAGGACTGCGGCCTTGGGTCGTGCCGCCTCCCCTCCCAGGGAGGTCGAGCCCGCTCTCCCTGGTCGGCGAGTCGTGCCCGCACTCGCGGCCTCTCTATCGTCCCTGGCTCGCCCCCCCCCTCCGCCGGCTCCTCTCCAGGCTCGGGGGGGCGTGGCCCTCCCCGTCGAAGGTCGCGGTGGTCCGGCTGCCCCTGCAACTGGTCTTCCCCCGGTGAGCCCGTACGTCTCGACTCCACTCTCAGAGGCCGCGCTAGCTCATCTATCGCCTCCTCCGACAACTGACCCCAAGCCCCCCCCGGGGCCCTCCGGCCTCGGCTTTCCGGTTCGCCGGCGGGTCCGCTCTCGTACCGCGGTAATTCCCCTCCCCCATCTCCTCCTCCCGGGTACACCAGCCTCCGGCGGGGCGGTCCCGGGTCCCCCAGGTTATTCCGAGCGGGTCCATACGGTGGCGGCCCCGTCGGCGGCGGGGGTGGAGGCGGTGGCAGGGGCGGCGGGTGCGGTGGCGGCCCTCGTGGCCCAAAGGCCTGGTGCGGAGCCGCTGGGGCGGCCCCACGACCCTGCAACCGTTCCAGTGGCGGGGGCGGAAGTGGCAGTGCGGGTGGCGGGAACGATGGCGGCACTGGCGGCCGCACCGCCAGGTGTGGACCCTCAGGGGCGGCTCCTCGACCCAGCAGTCGCTCCATCGGCGGGGGCGGAGGTGGTGGTGGCGGGGGCGGGGACGTATTTTCTTCTCAATAACAGCGCTGCATGACACCCCCCGTTTCCCGCGAAGTTTCCGGGCCGCCGTGCAAATCGCATCGTGTGAGCTCATGGTCGCCACAGTGGCCGCTCGCGCCTCGTGGGACAGCCGCGAGTTTGCAAGTCGCATCTCATGGGACAGCCGCCAGTGGCTCCGCTGGGAGCGATTGCTCTACGCCTCGATGCAACGGCCAGCTCTTGGGATCGCGCTGCTGGCGGCGCTCCTGCCGTGTACCCTCGTCGCACTTCCGGTGATGCCTCTCCTCTCGCTCGCACTACTCCGGTGCACGCCAACCCCGCGGGGACGACACGACGTCGGAATCGCCGACGTGGAACAGCGGCTCCTCTCGCTGCCTGGTCCGGCTCCGCTCGCACGGCTGCGCGTCTTCTACCCGAGCAAGGCCGAACGTGAGCGGCCACGGGCAAGCTGGCTGCCAGATGGCCCCGCCCGCGGCCGCTACGCCACACAACACGGCTTTGCGTTGCCCTTGCCGCGCTGGGCGACCCGCTTCCTCGCGCCTTTCCTCACCTCGTTCTTGCGTCTTGCGAGGTGCCCGCCCACGCACCGAGTCACAAGAGCCGAGCGAGGTCCAACCTGATTTTTGCTCCAGGCTGCCGCGCCGTGTTTCGCGTTTGGCCCCTCCCGCCGCCCCAGCAGAGGCGGCGGCTGCCGCCGGCTGGCCGCTGGCCGTCTTCTCGCACGGGCTCTGGGGTTGCTCCGCCTCGTACTCGGGCCTCTGCGCGGAGCTGGCGTCGCACGGCGCTGTGGTGCGCCGCGATCTGTGCCGGCCCTGCCACTAGCCAGCATTTGCGTGATTCCGGGGACATCATGTCCCACCACGACCCGACGAGCAAACAGACACCGCGCGGCAGGTATGCACATGCACGACATATCCCCCCCCCCCCCCCCCCTGCTGCAGGTGATTGCGCTCGAGCACGGCGACGGTTCGGCGGTCTATACCGAGGAGTAGACTTCACCGCGGATCGGCATCTAGACGCATCTATCCACACACCTCACCGCGGTCGTCCGAGGAATAGACGTCAGATGGCGAGGCGCGCGTGTACGGCAGCGTGGACGGCGACGACGCGCGGGCGCGGCAGCAGCGGCGGCGCGTCGCGGAGGCGCGAGCCGTGATCGACTCGATTGACGAGATCGCGCGCCAGCTTCCTGCCGGTGTCGCGGTGGACAAGAGCAGGCTCAGCCTCATCGGCCACTCTTTCGGAGGGAGCAGCGTGCTGCGCACTGCGGCAGACATCGCGAGCGGGCGCCCCCGGGTCTCGGCGGGCTTGGTGCGCGCCGTCGTGGCTTGCGACCCGTGGATCAGCGGGTACGACGAGACGGCGGACGGCGTCGCGCCCGTGCCCACCCTCGCCCTTCTAACCCCGTCGATGATGTATCCCGGCAACGAGAGGAAGGTCGGAGGCGTGATGCGCCGGCTCGCGCAGAGCAGCGCCACGGCCCTGTACGCCGAAGTTCGGGACACGCGCCACCAGGAGATATCCGACTTCCCGTGCATCAACCACAGCCCGCTCCGCTTCTTCTGCATGGCGGGCGCGCGGCCGCCCGCCGAGGCGCACGCGCTGCAGACCAGCCTCGTTGCAGGCTTCCTCGCGCTGGCGGGCGCGCTCGACGCCCCAGTTGGATCAGAGCTCGCGGCGCAGCGCGAGGTGGCGCGCGGACTATTTCTCGCTGCGGAGGAGCCGCCGCCGGAAGAATCGGATTACATTGTACATGGTGCGTCGCTGGGTGCGGCGGCGCCGCCGGTGCCAGCTTCGCCCATGGCGCTATCAGCGCCGGGCGGCTTGGCTGCGTGATCGACTCTCCCTGCGCCCCCGCCCCCGCTTGATTGTTAGTGTTACATCCGCCGTTTTGTAAAGCGTGTATAACGTATATGTCCCGGTGTGTCGGTGCGTGTGTGGCTCCGACCGTGATCCGTGTCCGTGTGCGTGCGAAGAGAATGTGCATGTGCCACACGATATGCACATCCGACGCTTTTCGCGTGTGCTCCTCTGGGCCGGCCCGGGGGCCCCAGAGGGTGTCCATGCGGATTCAGTGACGACCTGATCGTACGGCCAGTTTAGGAAGGTGTCCTTCCATCGTGTGCACGCTTGGCGCAATGCACGTCGCCTCGGATTGGCTGCTGGCACTCTCGAGGCTATGCCTACACAGCCTCGCGCGCATGGGCAGTCATGAGGGACCACGCACCTTCTCAGGACAGCGCCGGTGCTTCTCTCTTGGACCGGCAAACTTGGCGGTCTCGTGTCACCAATGTGGGACCAGTGCGGCATCGCGCCATCGACAGCTCTGAACTGCGCCTCACCACTGAACGGGAAGGCCGCCAAGTGGGCCAGCACAGGTCGCACATTGTGGCAGCAGCCAGCAGTGCATGTCTGATAGCTAGAGCAGCAGCGTCAGGGTCGCAGGGTCGGATCGTGTCAAGCCTCTCGCCCGGCCGGCCGCGTGCAGACGTCGGCCTGTCTGCTGTCTAGAGTGATCTGTCGGCGGTCAGTACGACCGATCAGGTTGGAGGTTACTGATGATTGGAGGGTCTATATGTGTGTACTCCTCGAGATCTCTCCAAATCTGCCCTCTGTTAGACCTTAGATCGGGAAGTCGGTGCTAGTGGAGACTAGTGGAGCGGCCGGGGCCCCGCGTTTCCGCAGCTGCGGCGCGGCGCACGGTGCCTCCGGGGGCCCCCGCGCCCCCCCAGAGGTGTGCTCTCTCGTGCATATGACATACAACTGTGTTTAACACTCTCACTCTCATGGGACCACTGCAATACACAGAATACATCGGTCTCTCTCTCTCTCTCTCTCTCGTGGCAAATAGATAACGCAACGAACGAACAAATGCGCTCACTCCCTGGCATGGTGCGTGAGTGTCTCTGTGTGAGTCAGCTGTCCGGGCGCGCGCTTGCGCGCCCTCCTTTCATGCCCTCCCGCAGCCTTTTGGCATGCGGCGGCCGTGCCCCAGCCGCCGGCGCCCGTGCTCATGGATACGCCCAGTGGACAGTGCAGCGCTGCGGTAGCGGCGGTGGTGTGCCCGTGCTCCGCCCGCCTCATCGCGACCCCCCCCCCCCCCCTTTCGTGGGCCTCCGTCCCCCGCCCCGCATGCGGCCCCGCGTGATCACACGCCCGGGACGAACTGCGCGTTCACGTAGATGAAGACTGTGCACCGCTCGCGGCCCGTCGTGACGAAGCGCATCTTGGCGACCGGCTGCACCTTGGAGAGGCCGTGCCGCCACCAGGTCCGGGGCCCCTGGGAGGACAAGCGGACACGGCCGTCGGAACTCTTAGATGTGGCCGAGAGGTGGCCGAGAGGTGGCCGAGAGGTGGCCGAGAGGTGGCCGAGAGGTGGCCGAGAGGTGGCCGAGAGGTGGCCGAGAGGTGGCCGAGAGGTGGCCGAGAGGTGGCCGAGGTGCCTTCGACGAGACAAACACGAAGAAATGCGAGCGCTGCAGCAGCCGCGCGAGCGCGGCGAGCGTGTACTGCGAGAAGACGCGGTCGAAGGCATAGATGTGCCTGTGCAGGGCGGGGGGGCTGTGGCGCGGCGCAGAGCACGCGGCGAGGCGGCGCGGCGGGCGTGGGCTGTGCGTGTAGCGCAGCACGGCCTCGCGCGTCGCGTCCGCGCAGCAGAAGGAGACGCCGCGCAGCAAGTCATCGTCGAGTGCCTGTCGACAGCTGGCTGTGTTGGTCGGCCGGGCGGGAGGTCTGTCTTCTCGCGGCAGGGCGTCGTCGAGTGCCTTGCGGTCAAGCTCGCCGTACAGCCCCTGCAGAGTCAGGGTCGGCATCTCAGCATGGGCACTCTCGGCCGATCTCGGCCGATCTCGGCCGATCTCGGGCGATCTCGGGCGATCTCGGGGTGAAGCTCGCCGTCGGTGAGCACCGGACGCGAGGGTCGGTCGGCTCTTAACTAGCTGTATATAGTCGCGATCTGCCGGCGTGCGTATGAGCTCACTAGCTAGAGCTCACACTAGAGGCCGTCATCGCATTCGCCTTCCTGGGACCCAGCGCTGACTTCTGACTGTCGTTGCTGTCTCTCCCCCTTCTCGACTGTCTGTGCTTGTGCGTCTTGGGTCCGGAGCTGTGCGTTTATGTGAAGCTCGCCTGCAGAGTCAGGTTCGAGATCTCGACGCGGCTGCGCACGCACTCGAGCCCGTGCGCCGCGCGGCAGCGCGAGAGGAGCTTGGCGTGCACGACGACCTTGCCGTAGCCGGAGCCAATGTCGAGCAGCGTCGCGTCGGCGTCGAGGTTCCAGCCGCCCCCCCACCCCTCCATCGCGGGCACGCACTCTGTCAGCCGCATCAGCAGCCGGACCAGCCGTTCGCACGTGCCGAGCGTCGCCTCGCCGTACCCCTCCGAAGTGACGGTGGTCAGGTCGCCTCTGCCCGGCAGCACCGCGCCCTCGCCACACAGGCTGTCCACCGACTCGCGCCTAGAAGGCTCCCAGAAGCTTCCTAGAAGGCTCCTAGAAGGCTCCTCGAGGCTCTCCACCGACTCGCGCCGGCCGAGCGCGTCGTCGCCCACAGAGCCCGCGCCCTCTCCCGGCGGCGGCGCGGCGGCGGCGGCGCCGGTGGGCGTGTCGGTGGGCCGGGGCGAGCCAGCACCGTGCGCCGCCGAGGCGAAGGAGTTGCGGCGCGAGGCGTGAAGGGTGGCGTCCTACCGGCGACTCGAGCGCTGAAGCGACGCGGGGCTGACGAGGGGCCGTGGCGCCAAGGCGCGGAGGGGGCCGCCTCCTTGGAGCAGAGCCCCCAGCCGTGCTATGAGGAAGGAGGGAGGAGGGAGTATGTATGAGGCACGACGCAGTAGTCAGAAGGGAAGAGGAAGTAAGCAGAAGGAAGCGGTAACGATGAAGTACTCAACAAGCGATGGGGCCGCCCCCCTCCTT